TCTTCCAAATCCATCGGAGCATCAAGACACGTGACGACAATGACAAGAACCACATCAATCGCCTTGATGACATCAACAACCTCATCTCACCCACACAGGATGGACTCTTTCGCATCCACCAAGGCATCATTGTCGAGGACACAAACGACAACGACAACAGAAGTCATGTCACCACCAAGCTCCTTATGTACATTTCAAATAAAAAAAGGTGACCATAGAGGAAGAGATCCTAAGTTATAAAAAGAGTATTTTAGTAATTTCAAATAATTTTTTTTTAAAAAAACTACTATTCACTTATTCATAGGTGAACAATATAATATACTATAGTTGTCCATTATAGTCAATGTTTATTTATAGATGATTCTACAATAAAGTAGTAAAATTGGTGCCTCACGAGGAGGAAACCAATTTACCTGCAATAGGAGGTTTGTCATCGGCTGTTATATATTATTTTATAAAATGAAACATAATTATAATACTTTTATAATATATAATTAAATTAAATTATTTTGTTTTTAATAAAAAAAATTAAGAATTAAACAAAACAGCAAGAAAATTACACAATTTGAAAGTTCTTTTAGGCTTTGTTTGGATTTGAAGATGGAAAAGGGGGAGTGGAAAATGAAAGATTTGAAGGGAAAGTAAGTGGAAAGTGAGGTTGTTTGGATTAAGGGAAAGTGAGTGGAAAGTGTAGAGAAAGTTTGTGAAAGTTTGTGAGTGAATTGATTGATGTGATAGATAAAAATAAATTTTTTAATTAATAATTGTGTAAGATTACTATTTTGCCCTTAGGTTGAATTTTTTTTTATAATTATTATAATTAAAATATAAATATATAAATTTTAACTAAAAAAATAAATATAAAATATTAATTTAAAAATAATTTAATTTAAATATTTGCTTTAAATTTAATGAGATAAAAATTAAAAATTTAATAGATGAATATGTAATTTATACTTTTACTCTTGAATTAAAAATGAGTATAATATTATTTATTGTAAATAATAATAATTACAATAAATTTATATTAATAGGTATAATTTATTAAAAAAAATAATAAATAATGATAAGAATAATAATAAATATTAGAAAAATAATAAGAATTATAATAAATAATAATAATACTAATTATAATAAATAATAAATATTAATAATAATGAAAATAATAATAATAATATTTATAATAATAAATAATAAAAAAATATATATTATGATAATTATATTTTCTAATATTATTTTATTAATGTTTATGAAAGTGTTATTATTTTGATTTTATAAACATGTATTACTTTATTTTTTATATATTTCTATTTTTTTATGTCAATATATATATATATATATATGAAAACTCTTATTTATTAACAAATCAATGCGGCCAGAACGGTCCGTTTCGATTCTGGAACGACCGTTCTGGCGTCATTTTTCATGCTAAAAGTTGATACTCAGAACGACCCTTATTCATTCCAGAACAGCCCGTTCTCAAATTGGAACGGCCCGTTCCCAAAGTGGAATGGGCCGTTCTGATTTCGCATATTGCTCATAAAATTGATTTTTGGAACGGCCCGTTCTGCTTTTGTAATCGATTATGCAAGCCAAATAATCGATTATGTGACTTGCATAATCGATTATGCTGAGAGCATAATCGATTATGCAAGCCACATAATCGATTATGGGCTTGCATAATCGATTATGTCCTTAGCATAATTGATTATGCTTCGTTCCTTTGTTGTATGACACATGCATGGGGCAGGGGTATTATGGAATTTTCTCAAATCTTACGTGGCTTTCACCTCTTTTCTTCGCAAAAATGCAAAGAAGCCCAATGCCCATTCTCCCTCTTTTCTTCACCTTTCTTTCCTCGTAAATCAGTAGAAACAAACATGAAATTTCCTCGCCTTTCGTTCGTCGTGAACAGTAAATCAGCGGAAACAAACACTACCTTAAAGAAACCCCATTTAGGATTCTTCTACACATGTTGGTCAAAGTGGACGGGAGGCATATTCCTTTCTTGCTGCCAGACTTGTCGACCTCCACAACAACTGAGATGACAGGTTTGGTTTAACAAGGCAGAGGGGGAAGGTGAAGGATGGTGGTGGCGTGTAGTGAGTGTGAGAACAAAGACAGAAAAGAGAGGGGGAGAGAGAAAAACGAGGAAGATTGAGGAGGAAAAAAAACATTGCTACTTATGGTGGTCGAAAATCGTAGTGACAAGCATTGTTTTAAAAATTGGATCGAACTAGCTGGTTAGACAAGTTGGAACGGGAACCGGTAATTCAGCCGATTCGAATCTTAAGTTGGATCGATTATGTAGTAGACTCATTTCAAATTGGATTGAACCGGTTAATTTTTTGGTTCAATTGGTGAACCGGTGGGTCAAACCGGTTCAATCACATTTTTTTTATATTTTTTTTAAGGGACCATAAACCACAAAAATAATAATGAAACTTGAATCTCTTAATAGAAGAGCAAAGAGTCTTATTAAATATAACAATGACTACTTATTTTAATATATTTGTTTGTAATATATACAACTTAAATAACTTTTATAATATATTATTAATTTTAAATTATATATTTAATAATATAATATTTATGTAGATATTATATATTATTTTGTGATATCAATTATAAACATATTATAAATGTACATATCATTTATATTTTTAATTTGTATTAATATACAGTTTAACATGTAATTTTTTTGTGTATTTTTTTATAAAATAGAAATAAAAATAATTTTAAATAAGATAGAAAAATTGAAATTTAAAATAAGATATGAATTTATTAAAATTTATAAGTATAAAATATATTTAACATAAATATTTTGTTTTTAAATAATAAAAATCGAGTCATGCGGTTCAACTAGTGACTCACTGGTTCAACCTTTGACTCACTGACCCAGTACCTTAACCGATTTGATGATCGATCCGATTTTTAAAATTATGGTGACAAGTCTTTACAAAGGTTTCTAACATTCTTTTATTTTATTTTTTTTCTTCTTTATTCCTTCTTTGTTTGCATTTTTTTTTAGATCATTGATTATTTGTTCTAGCCTACTAGGGTATGTATTTCTCAAAAAAAAAAAATTTGCATTGGTTCTTGTATGCATTTTTTTTTACAAAGAGCTTTTGGTGAATCAGAGCCACACTTCTAATGATCATGAAAGACATTACTAAAAAGTTGCTAAGAAGATAGTAGAGGGAGTGAAGTCATTTGAAACTCTTGCATTGATTTAATTTTATAATATATTTAATATAAATTAATTATTTTATTTATAAATTAAAATATTTATTTTCATCATCACGTTATTGGTAACAAATCTAAATCATTAAATTTTTTAATAATATATTTCATGGTGAAAAAAAGTGCTCCATAGATGAGCACTTAGTATAGTGTTTCATCTTAGTTGACTTCCCCTTTGTTTATATTTGATTTTTTTTGTTTACTACGTGAATGTAACTTTTCACTTTTACTCATTTTCATCATCTTCCTTTTTTTACTTCATTTTCTTCTTACATTTTTTTTCTCGTGCTAATTAGCCTCGAGCCTCCAACAAAAGTGTTACTCTCACTGGCTGTCCCATCTCCTTTTGCATGTGGTGCCTTGCACACCTCGTTACACATGTAAGTTCACCAAACATAAAAAAGTCCAACAATTTCATGGTGATTTACATTTTTTTTAAAATAGGCTATGACTAGTATATTTTAAAATCATTGATTCACCTATTTTCTTAAAAATGACCGAGTTAGACCAAGTCAAATTAAATGAGTAATAAATCCAATTGAATACACTACTCGGATTGGTCATGTGTTTGGTTTTCAATTTTCAACAAGTTTGATTGGTCACTAACTTAAGTGTCTATTAATAATTGTTAGGAGAGTTATCAAAGTAAGTTTCAATTAGTGGGTTAAATCGATACACCTTAAAAAAACCGATTGGACTAGGTTAATACATAAAAAAAAACTCTTAATTGGTCAAAATACTCAAATCAACCCACTTTTGACTTGATTCACCCGAGTTAAACCCATAGTGGGTTGAGCTATCCATCTAACTCACTTACACCTCCTATCAACCCAACCCCCAATGGTTTACTTAACCATATATTGTTATATATGTATTACTTTAACAAAGTATCATTTTTTTATAAGATAAAATTGATGTTAAACAACATGAGATTGTCATAGATTTATCTATTTAAACCTCCAATGAAGTTTAATATTGATAGACAATTACTTCAATGACAAGAATTTTATTTTATTTTTTTATTATTATTTAAAGTTGTACATTTTTTTAATTATATTTAATGTTGTATGCATAATACTTAGTTTGAAAATTTTTATGTTAGATTACAGGTTATTTTATATTAGAGTTTATTTTTTAAAAAAATTAGGTGGGTAGGTGAGCCAACTCGTTTAGTCCACCAACCTGTGGTGGACTAGGTTGGATTAGAAAATTTTTGAACATTTAAGTTGGTGGGTTGGGGCAAGTCAAGCTAACCCACTGAGAAAGTAGCTTGAGGTGAACTAGGCCAAACTGCTAGGTTGGTTCATTTTGATAACTCTAATTATTAGTAACTTGTGTTACACATTTATCCTATTTGTTTTCAGATTTTACAATTGTTTCTCTTTCAAGTTTCTTTAAATTCTCTCTTTCCTTCTCTATCTCTCTCTTTTACAAATTTCTCTCCAATTGTGCTTATTGATGATTTTGTTGTAGCATCTTGATGGAGATGCTTGACTAATTTGCTTATCAATTTGAAGTTTTATTAATTGCGGTAAAATTTGAGTTTCAATTTAATTTCTCAATATGAATTCTTCACCTCCTTCTCTCTTTTTTCTTTCTTTCTATATCTCATTTCATGATTTATGATAATGAATTGCATTTTTGGATCTAGAATTGAATTATATTATGATTGATTAATCTAATCTAAACTAGGATTAGGTAATTGATTAATTGCCCAAATCAACATATTCATTATTCTTCAATTTTCAGAAATTAAGATATGTAATTGCTAATTTTGCTTTTATGAAATTCTTAGATCTAGGTATGCATTTAATTTAGATCTGTGTTAGTGAGATGATGCTTGAATTTAAATTTTATGTTGAACCGTAACAATTTTTTTGTAAGGATTAAAATCTTGAATTAATGCATTTTTGGATTAAATTCATTTTAAACTTTTGTGCTTTATTTGCAATTGCTAAAATTATTCTTATTTCATATAAAATCTACTCTTTAACATTGCATGATAATTTTGGATTCATTTGATTGTATCTTGAAGAAGAATGACCTTAGTTAGTCTCTATATTGCAAATTAAAGAGGAATTTGGTTATCTTTTTAGTGACTTGATAACACTATTTCAACACTTTCTACCCAATATTGATGATAAAAGAAGTTCCAAAATAATCTAAAATAAACTTTAATTAAGATGAAAATCAATTTGCAAATGACCTCTAAGGATTGAGGAAATCACATACGTTCAAAACATGACACACTTAATAATGAAATACCAAAGGAAATCAAGTGGCTAAACAAAGACCATTACAATTCAAAAGAACTAACATGAATCCTAAACATAACAATAACTCAAAACAACATAAAATCATAAGCCAAGAACCACCATGTCATATTGTATTAGAGTTCAACCCATCAACATATGACAAGACCTAAGCCTCGTCACTAATATCATATAGATGACCTCCACCTGCAAAACATACATAGAAACACAACAAACAAAAAGATGAGTGAGAATCTCGCTCTACTACTAGTGTGAGATATTGTCGGATAGTCACACATATCAACAACACAGGCATATACATATATAACGAGTCAATGTAGCATTCATAACAGTAGTTATAACTTAAAGAACAATTCAACATGTTTACAATGTTCATGATTCACACAAATACAATGAACACAAACTTCACTAGTCTATATGCATGTGAGATTAGTAAAACATTTTATCCCTGCATGAAGACTCACATACAGCAGCCTAGGAAAACATGCTAAAGTCAACTCATCACGATGCTCTACACTAGGGAGAAATACACTAAGGTGCATCGTGATAGTGGTGTCGACCAAGTTTCACCTCATGCATACAAATAGGTGGAATTGAGACTCCCAAACCTAATTGTCCCCAAGGTCATGAATCCCTAAGCTCACCTAAAGGAGACCTTCCCTAACAACATATTCCACAACGTACTCTTCACACAAAGCACTTTTATGCACATGATTCATGTCACCTAAGACCTAATGCACACAATTCATATAACATGTATTCATCATTTTCCAAGTCATGTATTCATCATTAGCCAAGTCACTCATTTCCTCAATTAACACATATCACTGCTAGGCACTCATGTCCATACTTTATTCTTGCTAAGCCTCGGCTTATACTTCACATCAAATGACCATCACATGATTCACACATAATTCACCAAAAATTAAGTAAGTTAATAAAGATGGACCCTTAAACTACTCACATAATTCACTACTTGATCACTATCTGATTACCCTCCATATCATCGATCATACTCCTAGTTAAATACCTCTTATTAACCCCAGCATATCAAAATATAAGCATTCAGTCACATGCAAGGTGGTGGCAAGGGACTCCCTATGCTTAGTGCAAGACCCATAAATAGCACTCATTAATCTTTAGACGTCCCACACCTAGTGTGACTTAGCTAACATCCACCGAAAACATCATAAAGTACTCCCACGCCCAGCGTGGCCCAACCCACACCTAGTGCACAAGCCACGAAGAGTACCCTATGCTCTTTATTGATCTTGCACCCAACAACACCAAAATGATGTTTAGCAATATACCAATTTCAAGTACATTGACAAAATATGCAAAAATTGCACAAGTTAAACCCTCACCAAATCTCACCATTCCAATTGGTACAAATATTGATTAAAAATTATTTTTATTCCATTATATATACCACCAATTTACCCAAAACAATAACAATTTCACATACATCATTTGAATAACATCAATTTTCAACCTACTTTATAACAAGGATTTCTTACAAGAAGGTGAGGGTTCTTATAAATTCCCAAGGTTCCCCATAGAGGACAAAAGAATAACAAAGAGATTGAGGGTTAATCTCATTACTTAACAGATAATGTACACCCTAGTATAAGATTACTCACTCCCCCTACCTCGAGGAATGCTAGATGAATGATGCAGAATTCTAGGGTAATCTCCAATGACTTCCTACTCTCTAAGCAGTTCTATAATTTTTAGAAAAAGAAAAAACGTAAGCTTATAATGGAACATAAAACATACCTAACTTTTCAAACCTCCTTTTTAAAATTCAACTCCCTTTTCTTCATAAATAAAACATAATTAATTACAAATAAACTCAAAATACATAAAAACAATTATAATGAAACACATATTTCTCCAATAATCATTATACAAAATAGTTTTACAAATCTTTCTTATTAAAGTTGTCATAATTATATAAAAAGTTTCTAAATTATTTTCTAAAATCCAATTAATTAAATAAAACATCCTTTATTAATTTGATGAAAATTTGGGGGTGTTTCGCCCCCACCCAAAAAGTAGAAGAAAGAAAAAGTTGGTTCTTTTTCCAGCCATCCCAAGGAGAAGAATTTAGGACAATAGGGAAGATGGTTCTCTTCTTCAATAGACATTCAAACTTATATTGAGTTTTATGTTGGAAAACATTTTAAAACAGCTAGGCACTTGAATCTTGAATGGTTGACTAGTGAGGGTTTCGAGTTCCTTTCACTCATTGAGAATCGAAGGTTGAAGAAACTGGTTGAGATGAACGGTTGGTACTACCTAACCTAGTGAAGATATTCTACACTTGTGTGAAGATTGAGAATGACTTGTTCACCTATAAAAAGATGATAATTGATCATACTGTGTTGGAGGAGGTTGTTGCCTTGGCCCCTTATGGTGTAAGGGTGATTGGTGCCAATCTTCTAGGATTTTCAAAGATTGGGACCTATCAAGATGCCTTGAGGCATCCTAGTAAGAGAATGACAAAGAAAATCTCTGTTGGTGATTTTATAGCTGAAGATAGGCTTTTGGCCAATGTGATGACATGGGTACTTGCACTTAAAGAAGAGAACAATGCACAACTAAAAGAGGATGATTTGATGCTTTTTTGCTCTAAAGAGAATAATTACCTCTCATCCTTCTAGCATAAAAAGCATTTCTAATCATATTTAGCTCTCTGGTCACTTCCATCATATTCATTCTTTCTCCTGGTGGCTCCACCGAACAAGCTAGACCAATCCTAAATAATGAAAACAAACACTTCTTGGTATTAGGATGCATGTGATCTACAATCTCAGAGATATTGTTTTGTTCTGATATTGTTATTGTCGGATATTCAATTTCCATCGAGATAAGAGTAGCATCGACAATTTCCAAGAAGTTATTTGGAAATGCAATTTTAACATAGTTGTGGAGATTGTGTCCATCTTTAAACATTTCCTCTGTTGGTCGTCTCCCAGTTAACATCTCCAGAATTAGAATACCAAAGCTATACATGTCACCTTTTGTTGACACTTGAGAACTTGATCCGTACTCTGAAATATATTAGAAACTATCAATATTTTCAAATCCATTTTTATAACATTGATCAGGAAGGAAATATAAATAAGATGAAGTCATACCTGGGGGAGAATAACCTATAGTGCCTTTTATTCCGCTTGTACTAATTTGGTAGTGGTTAATTGTTGACAGAAGTCTGGCTATGCCAAAATCGCTCACATGAGCAACCATGTCATCATCAAGAAGAATATTACTTGGCTTTAAATCACAATGAATGATAGGTTCTTCACATTCATGGTGAAGATAATGTAGTGCTGAAGTAACACCAATCAAAATTCCTAATCTTGTCTCAAGATTCAATCTTTTTGGTCGTTCTGTATTTCCATTTTGTGGATGTAACCATTCCTCTAAGCTTCTATTTGACATGTACTGGAACACTAAAGCTTTAAAATCATTTCCATTGTGATCCACACTAGAGCAACATGTGACAACCTTCACTAGGTTTCTATGTCGAACATTTCTTAATGCTTCGCATTCGGCAATAAAACTTTTGTTAGCTCCTTTCGTTTGCAGATTTAGAACCTTTATAGCAACAATTTTTTCTGTCGATTCAAGACTTCCTTTATATACAGATCCATGACTTCCTTTTCCTATCAAATTTCGCAATGAGAACCCATCAGTTGCATGGTGTAGATTCTGGTATGATACCTTTGGAAGTTGATCAATTGTTCTATTGGTGGATGATTTTTTGTGCCTTTTCCTTATCAAATACATACCAAAGATACATGATAGTATAGGAAGAAAAAGAACTAGACAGATTATCACCACTATTAACTTGAGATCACGGTGTTTTCTTCTTTTCTTTGCTTTTAAAGCGCAAGGTGGAAGTTTTAGTTCAGATACCCCACCACAAAGCTTGCCATTACCGATCACAGAAATTGCACTTGCATTTTGAAAGACACCACCCTTTGGCACATCACCCTCCAACATGTTGAAAGAAGCATTGAAGTATTCCAAAACAGAAATGTTCTGTATTCTTTCTGGAATTGATCCAGACAAGTTGTTTCTTGAAAGATCTAAATATTTAAGACCTTTTAACGAAGCCAATGAAGTAGGTATGCTTCCATGGAAGGAGTTCCCCTCTAAGTTAAGGTACTCTAAGGTTATGCATTCTCCAATTGTTTCAGGAATGACACCAGAGATATAATTTTCAGACACATCTAGCAATTCAATATTTTTTAGCATGCCCACTTCTACTGGTAGATTGCCACTTAACGAGTTATATGATAGGTTTAGTGTAGTTGATAAAGATGGAATCTCAAACACTTGTGACGGTATGGCTCCTGTAATGTTGTTAGCTGCAAGATGTAGAAATTGTAAATGTTGGCAATTTCCAATTGTTGAAGGAATATTTCCAACAAACATATTGGATGACAATTCTAGGTAATACAACTGACTTAGATTGCCTATGGAAGGAGGTATCTCTCCAAACAATTTGTTCTCCCCCAAACTGAATAATTGAATCTTTTGAAGCTTGCAAAAAGTAGCTGGAATGATGCCAGTTAGGTGATTTTTCTCCATAGCCAAAACAATTAAGTTAACAAGATTTCCTAATTCCATAGGAATTTTTCCAATAAATTTATTACCACCAGCCATTAGTTGGGTGAGTTTGACGGTGTAATTGCCCACAAAACTAGGAAAAGACCCTCCAAAATTATTGTAGCTAATGTCCAATATATCTAGCTTACTGCAATTTATCAATGACTTTAAGAACTCTAAGTCATTAAATGAATTACTACCAAGGTTATTTAAACTTAGTTGTAGAGTTGAAATATCTTGTAACTTCACCAGACTTGGGACTTGTCCTACCAAGTGGTTTCCACCAATATCCAATATTTGAATCCCAGATGCATTAGAGATGGAAGTTGGGATTAAACCTGATAATTGATTCCCACTTACCGTAAAAGTTTTGATATTAGGTAAGGTGAGGAACATGTTGGTTGGAAAAGAACCGCTGATATGATTGTTTGTGATTGAGAAAACAATGAGAGATGACAAATTGTATAAGGAAAGTGGAATATCACCAGATAGTTTATTACCTGACATCCCCAAAATTCTTAAGTTTTCCAAAGAGCCAATTTCTTTTGGTATCTTCCCTTCCAATTTATTTGCACTCAAGGAAAGCCGAGTTAGGGAAGACAGATTTCCTATAGAAGGTGGGATGTGTCCAATTAGATTGTTCTTACGAATACACAATTCTTTTAGGTTGGCAAAGGATTCAATCTTTCTTGGTATTTCACCAAAGAAATTATTTCCCTCTAAACTTAAATGGCTCAATTTAGAGCAATTTGACAAGTTGATGGGAAATTCCCCCCCTAATGTGTTATTGGTGAAATAGAGTACATATAGTCTGAATAAACGACCCAATTCTTGTGGGACTTCACCATAGAAGCTATTGTCCTCAAGGAGAAGAATTCTCAAAAAAGAAAGATTCCCAATATGGGGTGATATAAATCCATGCAAGTGATATCCGGTTAGGTTTAGCTCTATAACTCTTTGGTGTCTTGGGTTGCATGTGACTCCATGCCACATGCAAAAGTGGCTTGAACTATTCCATGAGTTGAACACCCCAAAAGGATCATCAGATATTGATTCTTTGAATTTGAGCAATGCAGAATGATCGGTCTCATTTCCTAATGCATAGGTGGTTATTATATGTTGAGACCATGAGTTTGAAGTGAAGAGAAGAAGCATCACAAGGCATATAGACCAAACAACACTTGACATCATTAAAGGATGGCTAAAGATGCCAACCATCCAACCCAAGTAATGAGAGAAAAGGCAAAAGGACGCAACTGAAATAACACAAGAGTTACAGAAACGATGAGAGTCTAATTCATGATATATTAATTAACCAGACTTTATACATAAGAGTTGAAAAATGACGCACCTTATTTGAAAAATATTTGTTCCGATACTTCAACACCAATAAATCTTGTAATTATCGATATACAATGTAATTTCCCCTGCAAATGATCATATGCACCGTTGAACTAGCTAGTTTCGTCAAATACTCTATGCAAGTCTAGATTACTGACATTGCACTCACAATTCTTCGTACACAAAATTTTAACTTTGATAATATTGTTAAAGCTATTATTAACAGTATGAAGCTGTTGTCAAAAGAAAAACAGTAAGAAGTTAAATGCACAGTAGCATATGTTTAATTACTTTAATTTAATAATATTATGATTCTTGAAATATTTGGTACCATATATCGGTTGCATCTATATTTTCCCACAATTTCAATAATTGAAACACTTCAGCAAATATAATTAAAAACAGCCAGTATAATTAAGTAATTAACTATATATATATATATATAG